TTTCACCCAGAGGCCGGCAAACTCTGTTTTGCTCTCTGGATAATTTGGGGGTGGTGGTGGTTTTAGGGACGACCTGGCCCAGTTGCCCTTCCTGACCATGTGCATCAAGGAGAGTCTGCGGTTGCACCCCCCAGTTACAGTCATCTCCCGCTGCTGCACCCAGGACGTTGTGCTGCCCGACGGCCGGGTCATCCCCAAAGGTACCCACAAGGCAGGGGGCGGAGGCTCCTGTGCAGGAAAAGGGCTCCATCAGGCAGTTGGACCTTGTCCCTTCTCTCCCACAGGAGTCACCTGCCTCATCAGTATTTTCGGGACTCATCACAACCCAACTGTGTGGCCGAACCCTGAGGTACTGCCTGCCTTTCCCTCTTCCCATTCTTGCCCACTGCAGGGGTGGAGTGGCGTTTTGACCCCACCACACGCACCTCTGTCTCTCCCTGGGTGTGCTGGCAGACCCCACCCAGCAACTGTGTCTTGGTGGACCTCCCCTCCAGGTCTATGACCCCTTCCGCTTTGACCCAGAAAACGCCAAGGACAGGTCACCTCTAGCTTTTATTCCTTTCTCCGCGGGACCTAGGTAAGGAAAGCGGGAGTCTGAGATGGGGGTGGGGTGATGGCATCGGGACTCTGGGGATGGTAGTGCAGAAAGGGGGGAAGTTGCGGATGGTCAGTTGCTGGTGTCTTTCCTGTCGCTCTTGTAGTTTGTGTGTCGAGGTTAGGAGAGTGGCTGTTGGGTGTGTCCCCAAAGAGGTCGGTCCAAAATGGGGTCCACCGTGTGCTCAGAGCCTTCCCACCCCAGCTTCTAGGCTGAGTTGTGTGTGTGTGGGGGGGGTGTTGGGACAGGCTCTGGGGACAGGGACACCCACAGCGGTCCAGACACGTCAGCCCCCCTGCTGCCCTTCAGGCTGTTCAGGGTCGGAAGGGGGTCCCTGGCGCAGTAAAAGTCCCCACCCCGCCCGCAGGAACTGCATCGGGCAGACGTTCGCCATGAGCGAGATGAAGGTGGTGCTGGCGCTGACGCTGCTGCGCTTCCGCGTCCTGCCCGACGACACCGAGCCGCGCAGGAAGCCCGAGCTGATCCTGCGCGCCGAGGGCGGGCTCTGGCTGCGCGTGGAGCCGCTGAGCGCCGGCGCGTAGTGACCCACCGAGGCGGGTCCGGGGACCCCTCCGTGCAGATCCCCCAAGCTACCTGTGCAGATACCTGCAATAAAACGGTTTCACCTGCGTTTGAGTCTCACCGAGCGTCAGCAGGGGGCGCGGGGGACGTCGGGCAACCAAAGTGGTGGCCTAGGTGCGGGAGGCGAGGCCCGACCCTCGCTGGCTCTGGCTGGCCTCACAGCCCCTGAGCACATGGTGGGAGTCTTGGGAGGTGTTGGAGCAGAAGGTGGACCTAGAGTAAGGGCAGGGTTGAGCCTCTGAGTCACAAACGCTCAGAACGCTAAATGTTTACCATCCTTACCTCTGTTCGCCTCTCCTAATGTAGCCTGCATTTTCTCATCATGGGATTTTTTTCACTGTTGCAGTGGCTACTAAATTACTAGGTTTATTAAAAATAGCAAACTCAGTTGTGTTTTCTTTGCTCCTGCTCCTTCCCACCATCTTCTGCTTTTCTTACTTTTAGAGACAGAATCTCTACAGACCAATGTCTAACTCCCGGGCTCCAGCGCAAATCTTGCTTCATCCTCTGGAAAGCTGGGCACCAGGCATGGGCCCGAGCTCCGAGCTCAGCATGACTAAGCACGGTTGTTTTATATTGTGTCTGATCATTGTATCTGTCACTATTTTTATTGCCTGTTATTTTTGCTGATTTTTCAAAAACTTTTTATTGGGGCACTTTTTATGGGCTGATTATCTTTACCTTGATAGTGGCTGTCGTGTTTGAATACTTGCACAATGTGAAGAAAGCAGCGTTCTGTAGATTATGTGAAAGGAAGATCAAAGCCTGTGGTATCCAAGGTCATTATGGCAGTTTAATTCACTCTGCAATCACACGTGAGGTCTCCTTCAATTCAGTTTACTCCCTGCCTAGAGACGTCCCCTGAGGTCCCACTTCTGTGAAGAGGCTCTTGGAGATTTCAACCCCTCTTGTTTCACTCGTGGGTTTTGATTCTTTTCATCTCCTCATGAGCTTCCCATTTTCCTGACTTGAGAACAAAAGTCTACTTCATGTTCATTTCATTTATAACTTTCTGCTTTCATCAGAATAATGCCTGCTTTTTTTT